AGAAAAAGGGGGAGCGACACCTCTACTGATAGATATACTATGATAGGAACAGGGTCCTGACCTACCCATAACCTATCTACATATATACACAAAATGTACACAAAACTTCTAGACCCGGCAACTCCGAAGGACGGAGAGCTTACTGATAAAGCTGAACTCGGGCAACACCTACTGAGGAGGTCTACCCGTCAGTCTGTCTGAACCAGCATGCATGAAATGCAGCGCCCCCAAAAAGGGACGGCAGTACGAAATAATGTACCGAGTATGAAAGGTTGTATATAGAAAGCTGAAACTGAACTGATAATCTGAACATATGCGTACCTGTTGATACTGACTCAATTCTCTCAATATAATAAGAAAAATAGATGTCCATCCCTATAAGGTTCGATATATATATATATATATATATATATATATATATATACACATACATACATACAATAGAAGAAAATACAGAAATTTAACAAGTCAAGAGGGAGGGGAGCATGCTATAGGGGATGCAAAAATCCGGATAACAAAAATCAACCAAAGAAGGTGAAAATGTACAACTACAGTATCAAGGAGAGTAGAAATTTAACAATTTGCACGGCACCATACTTCGTGCTTTTACTCTCGTTCTCACCAAAACAATCAAATAAAGTGCACGACATCAACCTTCGTGCTTTTCCTCACATAAACACTCATATCATGGCACGGAATGACCCTTCGTGCATTAGTAATCAAAACATGGCATGGAATGTTCCTTCGTGCATTAATAATCAAAACATGGCACGGAATGTTCTTTCGTGCATTAATAATCAAGACATGGCACGGAATGTTCCTTCGTGCAATAATAATCAAAACATGGCACGGAATGTTCCTTCGTGCATTAATAATCAAAACATGGCACGGAATGTTCCTTCGTGCATTAATGATCAAAACATGGCACGGAATGTTCCTTCGTGCATTAATAATTAAAACATGGCACGGAATGTTCCTTCGTGCATTAATAATCAAAACATAATCGTGCACGGCATCACCCTTCGTGCTTTATCGCTCGTCCTCACCCAAACAACAATCACAAACAATGGGGTGAGGGAATAGACAAACAAAATAGAAATCCCGGCAAGAGAACAATAACAATAATTTTAATATCCCGGCAAGGGAGAAATATCAATATACGAATAAAGCCCGGCAAGGGAATAATCACATTTCTTTCTCTTTCTTTCATTTCTTACTCAATAATTACTTTATCGTTCAAGCCACGCTCCAAAGAGTTCACAAATCATAATTCTTTCTCATACTCTTCACATTATATGGAAATCATCAATTACACAAGAAAGAGTCACAACAAAATTAGAATAAGCACAAATAAGGACTCACGGTCATGCTAGACACCAATGTATAGATACTCGTCACCATGCCTATACACCGTACTCGACAATTAGCAATTAGCAAACAATACTCTAATCCTATTCCCTCAAGCCAAAGTTAGATCAAACACTTACCTCAACTTCCACGGCTAAATCAATCCACAACGACCGCCTTCCCTCTCGAATTCGGCTCCAACTCAATCAAATCTATGAAATAACGACTTTACAACATTAATATAAGCTAAACAAATCAAACCCAATGCCTAAATATGGTTTTCTAAGCTTTCTTCCCAAAATTCCAAAAATCGANTATATATATATATATGTAACTGCTCCGCCGTAGTAGGCTCGTTCATAGACGCTCGGCCATACTAGGCTCTGTATCTCGGTCAACTGGGCTCGCTCATAGGCGCTCGGCCACAGTAGGCTCGGTATATAACTTACCATCTGATCAGAGGTTGCCCAATAAGGGCCTGCCCATCGATTATAGCTCGATGGTAATGAAAATACTATGATATTGTATACATATAAACTCTCTGCTCTCTTGACTCGAAGAAGGAAACACTCATATGAATATGAAGTCCCGATAAAGTAAATATTGTAACTTGCGAGACTAGCAAAATATACGTAAATTTCGGGATATGAATTTTTCTTTATGACTCGTTATCAAACTTGTGTAATTACGAGATCATGCCAAAATGAAGGAAAAGTAGCCTTAACATATCTGGAGTGGGGAAAAATCCGTATAATGTTCTTGGAAAAAGTTGCATCGTACTCCTTTAGAATCGCAAAATTTTACGTTGCTACAATTTTAAAAGATTTCGTTGGACTGTTGAAGATTTACGTTGCTACAGCCCTAAACCACGTTACTTAATGTATAAAATCTGATTTGGAGTGTCTTTTGAGAAGGGAAAGTTGAAGAGTTATCAAAATGCTCACGTTCTTCAACCTTGATTAAAGTCTTGTTTTGGAAATTCTTGGAATGGAATTGAATGCAAGGAAAATGGCTAACTTTTTCTTCTCATTATGAGGTCTTTGGTATTGATAATATTAGGAATTGAGGTTTAAGATCTGATTATAGAGTGGTTTTGTTTTGAACAATCTTTGGAAATGAAGTGTTTTGATAACACGTCACTTTGCCACCCATCAAGAATGACTAATAGTCATCTCTTTATGGAGTGGCTTGCTGCCACGTGGGATGGGAGGGTTAATTTTAATCTTTATCCACTTATTAGATAATTGGGTAATGTCCCGTTACCTGGTAATTAACCAATTACCCGCATAATTAAAAATTATCTCAAATTACTTAAAATACTACTCACTTTTCACATACCTTATACACCTTACTATCATGGTCATGCGGTACCTCGTATAGCACTAGTCCATAAATACTGAGTATTTTAGCTCGGGCCGTATTTTATCCCAACATGCCAAACTTGGACGAAAATTCGTTTTCTTTGACTTCCTTCCCCTCTTACTTTCACGAATTTATAATGTAATACTTATAATCCCAAAATAAATCTCATTCTCGAACTTACGTCAACTAACGTACGAAAATGCGGAATGTAGTATCTCATTTCCGAGCTTATATCAATATATTTATGGTGTACTTCTACGTACGAAAACATGGGGTGTAACAGGGTCATTACAACTTAGGAATTCTTCAAGGAGAATTTAAGAATATTTTGGGTGAACTAAAGTGTATGATACTTCCTAGAATGAAAGAGAAGAAAATTACCTTGCCCTTTTTATACCAAGTCTAGGAAGTTCCGTCGCCTCCACATAAAAAACTGGTCGCCCCGCCCTGGTCACTACACCCGGTGGGATAGCGCAAGTCTAATAAACATGCGTAATCTCCTTTTTCCCCCCTCGTGTCGCCGGCCGATTGGCTGCGCTAGAAGCCAAACTTATCTAGCTTTAACTTTATATGTGGGGAAAAGTGTGGGGTGTAACATCATCGCTCCTTCGGAACGTGCACCCTCGAATGTTGAACCGTAGTCACTCCTTAAACTTCTTTAGTAATCTTAGGTTGTGCATGCCATATTAGTCTCATTGTTGCTTCCTGTATCATGGAACAAATGGGGATACTTGGATTTCATGTTTTCTTTAGCTTCCCGGGTCATTTCTTCTATATTATTGTTCCTCCAAAGTACCTTAATTGAAGCTACCTCTTTGGTTCATAGCTTACGAACTTGACGATGTAGGATAAGGCCTCATACGGTGCCATTTTAACGCTAACATGGTAGTTGTTGTTGTAAGAACATTTGATGATTGGTAAATGAGCCTCCCAGTTTCCTTTGAAGTCCAAAACACAGGCTCGTAACATGTCCTCGAGCGTCTAAATAGTGCATTCGGCCTGGCCTTCTGTTTGTGGATGAAAGTTTGTGCTAAGGTTGATCCCGGTACCCAATACTTTTTGGAATGATCTCCAAAAGTTATCCGTAAACTGGGCACCTCTGTCTGATACGATATAAATCAGAACCCTATGAAGTCGAACTATTTCCTTAATGTATAACTTAGCATAATCTTCAGCCGAGAAGTAGTCTTAACTGGGAGGAAGTGAGCAGACTTGGTAAGTTGATCCACGATAACCCATATGGAATCAAACCTTCGGCATGATCGCGATAACTCGGTAAAAAAACCCATGTTGATCATTTCCCATTTCCATGTCGGAATTTCCATATTCTGAAGCAATCCTTCTGATATTTGGTGTTCAACTTTAACTTGTTGGTAATTTGGGCACTGAGTGACATATTCAAAACGTTACTCTTCATGTTATCCCACCAGTATAGCTGTCAAAGATCATGATACATCTTGGTTGACCCTAGATGAATAAAATACTAGAATTGGTGAATTTCTTCCATGATCTGCATTCGGAGTCCCTCGACATTGGGTACATATAATCGGTCTTTGTATCTAAGGAATCTATCCTCGATAACTTGAAAACTTGATTTTTTGAAAGGGAATGCTTTCTCTTATCTTCACCAAGGTTGGATCATCACATTGTCGTTCTTTTACTTCGGCTACTAGCAGGGATTCGGCAGCATTTCAAATTATGGTTCCTCCGCCAGCGATGTCAAACAATGTACACTTAAATTACCCAACCAGTACAAGTCCTTGGTCAACTCCAACTTGTAATTTTCCACATGTCGTATACTACCCATGGATTTCCGACTTAGCCCGTCAGCCATAACGTTTACTTTCCAGGGTGGTGTAGAATATTAATATCATAATCCTTTAACAATTCAAGCCATCTCTGTTGTCTCAAATTCAACTCTTTTTGCTTGAATATGTATTGAAAGCTCTTATGATCTGTAAATATGTCAACATGAACCCCGTACAAATAATGACACCATATTTTTAGAGCAAAGATGACAGTTGCCAATTCTAGATTGAGGGTCGGGTAATTTTGCTCATGTTTTCTTAGTTTCCTTGAAATATATGCAATAACCCTTCCATGTTGCATCAGAACACTGGCCAATCCCACTCTAGAGGCATCACAATATATAAAATACCCCTCAGGTCCTTCAGGAAGAGTTAGAACTGGTGCCAATGCTAGCTTGTCCGTTAACTTTTGGAAGGTTTTTTCACAAGTGTCGGTCCACTGGAATTTAGTTGCCTTATGTGTCAACTACGTCAATGGAGCAGCTATGGATTCTCCACAAACCTTCGGTAGTAACCAGCTAGGCCCAGAAAGTTGCGTACCTCTGTAGAAGTTATGGGCCTTGGCCAATTCTTAACTGCTTCAACTATTTGACTATCAACTTTGAGACCTTCACCCAATACTATATGCCCAAGAAAAGTCATTGAGTTCGGCCAGAACTCGTACTTGGAAAACATGGTGTACAACTTGTGATCCCGGAGCGTGCATAAAACCTTTTGCAAATGGTCTATGTGCTCCTCTTCTGATCGCAAATACACCAAAATATCATCTATGAACATAATCACAAAGATATCCAAAAATGTCTTAAGCAATCGATTCATCATATCCGTAAAAGTCGTTGGTGCGTTGGTTAGGCTAAAAGACATAATGAGAAATTCGTAATAGCCATATCTAGTCTGAAAGGCTGTCTTCGGGACACCTTGTCCCTTGATTCTTAACTGATGATACCCAGATCTGAGATCAATCTTCAAAAAATACTTAGTGCCTTGCAATTGATCAAACAAATTGTCAATCCCTAGGAGCAAATACTTGTTCTTAATAGTTATCTTATTCAGATGTCGATAATCAATGCACATTCTCAACGAACCATCTTTCTCTCAAAACAATCACTACAAGAAAAATGCTCAACAGCGGAGGGAAAAATGGTCCCTAAAAGTAAGAAATTGGTCCCAAATGGTTAATAACGACCAGATAACCTGGTCCTTATAGCTTCCGCCGCTAAAGGTCATTAAGAACGAGATACAGTACCGGTCGCTAAATCTGTTTCGCGACCAGATTAGAACTAGCCCTAAAAGGTTTTTAAGGACCATAATTCTGGTGCCTATTTGTATGTTTTAGCGACTAAATTCCTGGTCCTTAAACTATTTTCGCGACTAGTTTTAATGTCGTCGTTAAAACGTTTCACGACCAGTTAGAAGCTAGTCGTTATATCTTTTCGGAGAAACTTAAAGTCGGTCCCTAATGTCTAACAGGTCAGCGCTACAAAGCTACATATATATTTAGAAATTAAATTTTCTACTCCTAAAAAGGATTTAAGGACTAACAATCTAGTCCCTAAAGAAACAAGTTACAAGTCCCTAAATCACATTCAATTTGCAACCAGAAATCGGGAATATTAATATATAGATAATGTTAGCTTTCATAAAATAATACCAAAAATACTCAACATCAGTTAGTTGCACCGTACATCAATGATGTAAGCTAGTCACAATAGTGTTCATAAACATTTAGCAAAAAATTACATATCACTAATATCTCTCGATTGTAATGTAAAATTTTCTTGAAATTCCCAGCAAAATGATGGCTAATCTGTATGTCGTCAAAAATCTGCTTCTAGTAAACTTCAATATCCAAAACCTGTAGAAGAAATAAGAAACTTGAGTTAGAAAAACTATATATAACAATGTAGACGGAATGTTATCACAGTAGGTATGGGAATTGACAAAAAGAACAGTAAGTATAGTAGGTGTATGCAAAAAGCAAGCTTGAGAACCTAAAGGCTAAAAATTCCAGCTCGGCACTACTAAATTAAAGAGAAAAGATTAAGCATACAAGAACAAGAATGACTGAATGCAATTCTCTCAAGTAGCAGTAAGGCAAGTAGGCATATGGGAGCAGAGCTTACCCCTATATTATAAAGATATAGAGGTTGTTTCCAATAGACCCTCCCCGCCCCAAACCAACACAACCAAAAGAAGAAACAAATCTTAGCTTCTGCTAATTGTTGATTTCTGCTTGTGAAATTTTAACCAGGTAATGAAGTAGCAAGAGGCAGTGAACTAGATTAGGCATTTGGAAGATCCTCAGGTCATTCCATCCTACAGTGAGTGGCCAAGACATTCCTTTCTTTAATCTAGTATGGGTGATTCACTCTTAAATATACACTAAGAGCAGATTGTTTATTGTTTAGCTCGCATCACTTTTGTCTCCTCGAATCTCGTCATAGTCCTAACATGGATAACATGCCGATTACTTGGTTTCACCAAGGGTTGGACAAACTAGTATTTGTGAGAGCTTTAAAGTTAAAAGTAAATAGTAACAGATTTTTTGGATATTTGACACGTAAATGGTAAGAGTTCTAGGAAGATCTCCAACAAGCAATTGCTGCTTCTAGGAGAGCCTTGTCTTATGAAGGCGGTGTCCGGGGCAACGTCAACTATTCCACTAGGTACCTGCTACCTCCTACTAGCACAAGTACTGGGTAACTTTGCCCACTAAACTCAGAATCTGCTAGGTATTGCTTAAAAAAGAGCCTTGGCAAAAATTCATGGTATTCAATGCCGGAAAATCACTACGGCTTCAAAGTAATCCCCTTGTGAAATTCTTCAAATATTAACCTAAGGGATATGGCTTACATTAGCAAGACTCACATGTTGCAAGTCTTCCAGATTGAGTTCCTCTCACAAGCCAATTTTTGAGGCACCTTGGCTGCAGCTAGACATGTTATATCCTTAGGTCCATAGCCCCTTCTATGTGACATGCACTAAAGAAGTGACTACTGTTATATTCTTTGAAAATTAAGCTGTTGAATGCTTAGTCAAAGAAGCTCTGCAATTGAATGAGCAAAAGCAATGTTTCTTGCCTCATCATTAGATTTGAATAATGCAGAAATGAGAAAAATCTAAAAGACATCCTTGTTTGTGTAGAATAGAAACTACACCTTCAACTTATATACTTTGTTATGAGTCATTCCCATTTACAGAACTGGGAAGTGACATTCCAATACAAGTTAGCTAATATTTTAGCAAATTGAGATTGTGTCAAGGTCAAGCAACTCTTGTGTAAGGTCAAGCTAGGATCTTATAACTAGGTTTGACTATATCAAGAAAAAGAATTTCAGTATTGCTGCTTTTCTCTCTTTTTTGCCTCAACATAGTTATTTCATTTTATCTTCTGCAATTATTCTGTTACCAGATTTTAATAAATTCCTCAACCAGCAAATTCGTAATCAACAGAAGAATAAATTCCGCAAATGATATATAATAACACACACTTAAATCAACAAAATAAATTGAGGTTTCAGGTAAGTTGTTACTCACTTGGTATCATCAAGGATCCGAATAGTCGTTCTCTTGAACGGGAGGCTGGAAATTAGTTTGTTGCGCTAATACTAATTCTTTTGCTTGCCTCAGCTCTCTCATCTCATTTTCCAAGTTAGACAGACGATCCTTCAAAGATTGGTTTTCATCTTCAGTTGAACGTATCTTAGCCAATAATTCAGTTTTTGAGGCAGTTCCACCTTTCAAATCTTTCGCCTTTAATCCACCCCCAAAGCCAAATACATGACTACGACTTTGAGGTCCAAAGCATTTTTCTACAATCTCTATGTTAGGAAGTGACAGTTCAGACTGCACCAATTCCTGGATTTGAGCCTATAAAGTATATAGAGAAATTTTTGTCAGGTCCAATAATAACTAAAGGTAAAGAACATGTTCAATTAACCAAACGCACATGTTTCTCGATTGTTTCAGGATCAACAAGTGTGTTATTTTTCTTGCGAGTCTCGAAAAAAATAGTTGCCAAATCTGGTGGTTTGCCATCTTTTCCGCCCTTTACATAAAAGTAAATATGTCAAATAACATCTCGTCAATATTAAGCAAAAATAGATTTGATGAAAACACCTTTTGATAAATAATCTCTCTAATTGGGCTCGCTACCAATGTGATGAAGCATCTTCAACTTAGTTTTATTTGCTGCATTCCTGTTACTTCTCGCCTATATTTGAGTGACAACATTAAATTCAAATGCTATAAATAAATTATCAGTTAAAAGATCACGGTATAAAATAAAATTACATAATTAGTTATTATGTCAAACCTGAAAACTTTCTGTAGAAAAATGTTCCTTTACCAACTACTCCCATTGTTTTTTGTCTACCCCCTTGGGCACATTCTTAAGAGCCTCTTGGATTGGCTTGCCCTTCACATATTTTGCATGCAATTGTCCTCTCCATTTGTTCCATAACTCTTTCATCCATCCTAAAATATGATCGCGATGGATATCCATGTCAACACTCTCAAATTTATCCTGCAATACATCAAACATAGATTGATATCCAATATAAAAATAATAGACTCCAGGTACTTGGACATTCTGTTTTTTGTACATTGCTACAGAGAAAGCAACAAGGTAGCTTATTATTTGACAACATTCGTGCCTTGTGAACCATCATTATTAACAAGACCAAAATTTAAACCTTAATATCAGAAATTAAGCTCACCTTCTAATCACTGCTACTCAATTAGACTTTACTTAACATTGTTTGCCTATATCTGAAAAATTCCAACGACACTTAACTTGTTAAGTCAAGAAAATTAATGAATAGGTCAGATTTTTAAACGTTGGTGAGTACGCAGCTGCCATCACCTATAGTCTATAGATAAAGATTCCTTCCCAATTCGTCTATTTTTCCTACACGTTCTGGTAGATTGCATGAATGCATGTTCAAAAGACGGACCAAGTCAGTAAGGCACGTAAAGGCTGCTGCTACTCCACGTGAACAGAATACACTTAAAACATAAATCACCTCACTTTTAGGTGAAAAGAGCTGAAACTATACTATAAGATTACACACATCAACCTTACCCTACACTTACAAGTGTGCAGATTGTACATTTCTTGGAAACATAACAATCCATACCAAGTTGTCACAATTGAATTTCTGTCTAGACTACCAAATTTTCTACTATACCCCCAGGTAAATATACTTTAGAAATACTGTTTGAAAAACTATGTATGTACTGTATCTATATAAGGGAAATGGTTATCTCTAAAGTGAACTAAAAACCAGCAGAAAAGTCAGTCAGCATCGCTAGTGGTCAGTCAGAAAAGTCACTCCTGGTGCACTAGCAGCAGCAACAACATCAACAACTGGTGCACCAGTTGTAGCTACTTCAGCAGAACAGACAATATGTAGATTCAAACCGTGCCAGCTACCCTGCTTCTCTTTGGGATACTGGACATCATCTTCACAGTGTGGGGTCACAAAACTAGAAGCCATGACTGGGAGACACTCAGCTACTACATCCACACCAGTAAGGATTTAGACTAAACTTGGAGTCTTGTCCACGATAATGTTTCTTTGTTCTTCAACTGGACAAAGATTTCTCGAATAGGCCAAACTTAATTTTCTCAGAATTCAAGCAAACAAATTTCCATAAAAGTCAACATTCTAACTAGCGAATTCCTATATTCTCCACTTATATGAAGATATGATTGTGACACGTTTGTACTTTCTTGCTATGAAAAGACTAACTGAGCAAAAGCACGACAAAAAGGTTCAACAAAAGAAAACGATTTCTGATTCAATGGGGGAAAAAACTCAAAGAAGAAATTTTAAGAAACATAACAGAACAAATAAACAGAACAGAAGGATCTTTCCACCCATCGAACTAAAACAATTAGTAAATAAGTAAATTAAACAAAATCAAATAAACAAAATAGATTTCTGATTCAATTGGGGGAAAAAGCACAAAGAAGATATTTAAAGAAACAGAACAGATCAAAGAGAAAGAAATTAAACTTACTCTTGTTTGGGCGGATAATCTAATAGTATAATTTGTGTAAAGTACTTTGG